ACTTTCCGTACCCACTGTATATATATATATATATATATATTATATATAAGAACACAAGTTTTAAAATAACTTTATAGGTTTTGTTTCTCTTTATTTACTGAGCGGTTTAATTTACCAGAATTTCTGCATGGTGGTCCTCTCTTTCCCTCTTTAATATGTGTTAAAATACTCAGCATTTTTAGAACTTATACAATGTTTTTTAAAGTTATTTACTATTTACAGTGCGTGTATAATTTGTATTTTTTTTAATGGCAAAAATTATTGTCCCCAATTCTGCTGCCATTAGCATCAGAGAAAGCATTTTTAGAGAGGGATTATTTTTACAATAACTAAATTAATATATGCTACCTATCAAAAGTTTGGATTTTTAATTCATTTTTAATGCAGTATTTTTTCAAAAATGCAGTAAAAACAGTAGTATTCTAAAATATTATTACAATTTTAAATAACCGATTTCCATTTAAATATATTTTAAAATGTAACTTATTCCTGTGATTGCAAAGCTGAATTTTCAACAGTCATTACTCCAGTCTTCAGTTTCACATTATCCTTCAGAAACCATTGTAATATGCTGATTTGGTGCTTTAAAAACATCTGTGATACATTTTTTTCTAGTATTCTTTGATAAAATCGCAAGTTCAAAAGAACAGTATGTATTTAATGTTTACTTGCGTAACATTATATAATCACTTTTAATGCACTGTAGCTGAATAAAATTCATTTCTTTCTAAAAAAAAAAAAAAGAAAAATTAAATCTTACTGACCCCAAACAATAATATTCAATATAAAAATATATATTTAAAAAATGTAATTTAGAAACAAATAATTTTTAAGCATCTCACACAATATCAAAAACCCATGATCAGATCCTTCTCAGTATGACATAAATGTTTTAACTTTGGTGAAACATAACTTGAAATTAAATTTTTCACAATTTCAAAAGCGCTTCTAATTGAGATTCACTTATGCAGAATACATCGGTCCAAAATCTGCACCACAACATCCAGGACACGCTTTGACCATGAATGACGCTCAAGTCCAAGAGGCAGCTATCCACATCCAGCTTCATAGCGAGAGTACTGTAACAATCGCATATAGATGGTGCTCTATTTAATGCTGTGTGCCTCAGCTGAATGTAACAGCTGACCTTTGATGTGTCGTCTGTATGAATGTGCACCATTGTCTGTCTAAATCGAGGAAAAAGCTGCAACATAAAGGGGCTCTCCAACGTGTGTCTGAAGGAACTGAAAGATGTGGTTCTGCTAGTCAAAGACTGGAAAACAGCTGAAGGATGGACCCAAGTACCAATATGTTTTTGAGGATCCTGATGTTGAGTCCCTGGTAGTGTGTGAAGCCATCTTGGATGGCCAGAGCAAATATAAAGTGTCTATAATATCTTATATTGACCTCCTAAATCACAAAGGAAGTGCTTGACATGCCAGTTGATGAGTGTTACAGAAACACTAGAAAATACTGAAAAGATCCTTTAAAGGGATAGTTCACCCAAAAATGAAAATTTTATGTTTATCTGCTTCCAAGATGTAGGTGACTTTGTTTCTTCAGTAGAACACGTGATGATTTTTAACTTTAACCGTTGCAGTCTATCAGTCGTATAATGCATGGCAATAGTAACAAAATCTATGAGAGTAAAAAAAACATACACAGACAAATCCAAATTAAACCCTGTGGCTCGTGACGACACATTGATGTCCTAAGACACGGAAAAAAAAAAACGTTTGTGCCAGAAACCGAACAGTATTTATATCATTTTTTACCTCTAATACACCACTATGTTCAACTGCTTAGATGTGTTCTACTGAAGAAACAAAGTCACCTACATCTTGGATGCCCTGGGGGTAAGCAGATAAACATCAAATTTTTCATTTGTGGGTGAACTATCCCTTTAATGGGTTTTATTTTGCCCAGTAACCTTTCCCAGATTATCAATCACACCGAGGCATTAATACTTTTCTCACCATCAAATAAGCATAACCAGCAGACTCAGGGAAGTATAAGATCCTCTGAGCAGTTAAACAGACAAACAGAGACTCTTGTCTCTTGTCTTGTGTTTTATACACTTCAAATCATGGCCTTTGTCTTCATTGGACCGCAAACAGTGATTCCTCTATGTCAATATGCTAAAATAAAGGGCTTGCTGAGGACCTCTTTACCCTGTAAAGCCTGCTGTATCATATTGGAAATGCACATTTTAAAGTCTGTAAATTATAAACACACACACACACACACACACACACACACACACACATATATATATATATATATATATACAGTATATATTCTATATGAGCCATAAAATTAGCCATAAAAGCCTGGTGTATCAAATATTTTCTTTCTCTCTCTCTCAGAAAAAAAAATGACAGGGTTAAAAAAAGGTTTGTAATTTTAAAGCATTATAATGTGTCATCAACAGATTTAATATATCTAATACATTTATCTCAGATGAGGAAAACTAAATAGATCTTTAATCAAGTGTTAAAAATAATATGTAACTACATTTATATCAGTGTTGCAGGGCCGTAACCACACTGAGTATTAAGAATATGATGTGGTCGATCATTAAAGTTATTTCTTAGACTTTTACATTTTGTCCTCGTGATGCGGTTACATCCTTGATCTGATGCATAGAATGGCGCAAAAAAAAAAATGTTGCAAGAAAAAAAAAAAAACTATATTTTTGGAAAAGACTTGTGATGTGACAAAGCAATCTAACTCATAATCTGGAGGGTCTTGCTCATGCTTTCAGTGAATGGCTGTAGACTGTTAAGTGTAGTGTGTCATGAATACCAATGATGTAAACTTTGTAATCAACATGAGAAGTGC